CTTTGCTGCTGGAGCTCTCCTTGCGTGCCCCCCTTCATGATCACAAGACGATATTCAGTAACAAAGACGGTGAGGAGTTCTGTCTACAGCGACCTCTGTCTGATCTAGCGCAGGTTTCCCCTTCGCTTGCTGGTTATTTGTTGCCGGGTTCTTGATCGGCTCTCTTCTAATCTGAAAACGTGGGCGAACCCCTACCAGGCTACAAGCCGTCACATCTCGGAAGTCAGTATTCTTTGTAATCAACGGTTTTCGAACCAAGGTACAGCAATATAGAATCTGGCATTGTAAATTTCATGATCCATGCTGTACATGTTTGTCTTTGATTTTCTGTCGGAATTAATTTTCGTGTTGTAAGATGTTGCTACCTGATTTCGTGACATTTCTTATTTCGTGCTGTTACCGTCTAAACTGGCAACGAAATTCGGAATTTCGGCCCTCAGTTGTGTTATCATTTCTCCGTAGACTATAATCACTTCCGAGAACATCAATTCCCACTTCCTGTCCTAAGTAACCAATATTGAGACGAACTAATAGACGTGACCTCGTCCCGGAATGCAGAACAAACTTTATTTCCGGACATATTGCAAAATTCAGGATCGTGGAGACAGTAGTAAAAAAACGAAATAATTGGATGTGAGCCCTTCACAGCGCTGACTGTGAAGATTTATGTTTTCTGGGGTACTGCCCCATCCAGTCCAACGACTAAGTCCCTGCATGGCGTTACATTGCAACAAACGGAACCTCATTACAACTGGAACAATCTGCGTGACGCCTTCCCTTCCTCTTCATCTCTGCCGCCTGGAAACTCAACAGAGCTGCAGGTTCGCCCATTCTGTACGCAGATGGTTTCTCTCGGGCTAGCGGGAAAACTGGAGCTAAAAATTGGAAACTGCCTGAGAACAGGACATTGAGGAAAATATTTTGACCAAAATAGGAAAAGGAACCTGGGCAAAAATTTCGCAAGGGGCAGCTACAGAATTTAAACTCTTCTTCTTATAACAGGAAAATGAGATGGGCCGGCCATGTAGCACACATGGCTAAGAACATATGCGTACGATGTTTTAATAAGAAAATACTATGGAAGGAGAACAGTCAGGAAGATCTAAAGCAAAAAAAAAAACGGTGCGAGTGTGGGGGCTGGATTCAGCTGGCTCATGATGGGCTCCAGTGATGATGGTTTCATAACAAGTGGGAAATGCCTTGACCAACTAACAACTATCAGCTTCTGAAACCCAGTCCTCCATGACAGGAGATGTCATTTATTAGGTTCGGCATCAGAAAGTGATCCAAGGCGACTTGTCGGGGGTATACCGAGTCACGTAAACGTGTGCTGCGCTTTAGAGCGCGAACTGCAGAGAAAACATGGCACTGAAAATCGATGCTTGTTCCGTAACGTGTAGTTAGATTTTTCGCGTCGGTAGCTGCCAGTTGTTCGGAAAGAGGACGGCGACGCCAGGACGTCCGTTGCGCGCAATTGGAGAGCAGTCAGCGAGTCTCATATCGCCATTTAGGGTTGCCCATGTCTTTCAGCATAGAAATGCCAAACATCGCAAAAATCGTATACAGTTTCCTTGCTTCCGTGTTCAATTCTGTGCGCTTTCCAGTGATGCTGGCCATTAGTTCTGGAGCAGAAACTTCCGTATAGAGGAACGGATCGCAGTCAAATGCGGTATCTACCGAAAGTATTAAGTTGAATATTGACAACTTCAAACTGTTTGCAATGTCAGCCTGCCTGCACAGTCGCTGCTGGCTTCTGGGATGTAACGCCGTATATATTTGTACATGCCTAGAAAAGTACACGGCGTCATGTCGCAAAACAACGCAGTCGTCATATGACCGTGGTGAGAGCCTCAATTTCCATGACGAAGATTTTTCATACATTTTACCTGTTGTTTTGCCTGGTTCCGAAATGAAAAACACTGTCATTTGGGATATGATGTTGCGTAGCCTGGTAGAAGATTATTACGTTTCGAAGGAACTTACTGCCTCCAGCTTCAGGTTTGAAGGGTAATCCACTCAAGCAAGAAGCACGCAGCGGAGGCTCTGCATAGGCTTATTCTTCAACCATGAAGAAGGTGGATTATACGTTCCTCCGAAACGTCGTTGAACTTGAATCAGACAACAGCGTCAATCTCATTAGACAGCAGTCTTCGTAGTCAGAGCTGTCGGATCCTTGAATTAAGTGAGAAGTTTAGAAAATTACACGACGAGGAACTCTGTGATGAATGCAATTCGCACATAATGTTACGGCCGAAGTTGCGAAAGACTTTACGATCGGCTATGTGCGCCAGGTGACTTCCGATTCAGCACTTGTATATTCCAGATGAGCCGTTTTCATGACAATTCTCTAGTCAGGTTCGAACTCCACGTCCATCGGATGCAGACCTCACGTGAAAGCTTCCAGACTGATTCCAGGGTCCAATAAAATAAAAATGGAACCCCGAAACATTGAATCATTTCTCTCGTCGTGTGTTTACATAGGCCTCGGACGCTTCAGCGCCACTGTTTTTTGTTTTCGCCGCAATATTTTCTGTGAAATCACACGGCCCCATTCTTGTTTCAATGAGTCTGATTGTCCTGGGGGGGGGGGG